TGTCCGCAGGAGCAACACCCTCCTCGCCCAAGCATTACTGTCAGTATGTTTTAAATAATGAATTTAATTGCATAAAATTTACTATCGTGGCCTCATTTGGAGAGTATGAACACAAATAAATTGTCATAAGACTCCGTTGTAAGAGTTGCAAGATAAGGCAAAAATGGGGTAAAATAGACACTTCCATTTCTTTTTCCATTGTCTGTGTTCCAATTATAACTCAAGAGTCAACTTTACCCCGCTTAGATACAAATTTATTGGATGCTGGAAAATTATGTGTATCCATTTACCCATTTTGTTCAAGAACCGTTTTCAGAATTTTGAACGTGAAAAATTGTCATTGTCCGACAATTTTCTCACTGCTCATGTTATTTAAGGTATTCATTTTGCCTTTAATTTCCTTTAAAATATTCAAATATCGAAAAGATTTCCCATGTCCATTATACCTTACTCATATATGGATTTGATAGGTATTCATTTTACCCCAGGTGTCCACATTGTCCCAACCTTCCCTAAATGACAAGAAATCTATGATGATGGAATAATTACTCATAATATAATTATCACTTTCCACGCAGGCTCTTGTGAGGCGTATGAAGAGGCGGGGAAGAGCCTTCATGACACGACTGAGAGATTGGGAATTGGCGAAATTTTTTTTTAGAAAGCTCTCTGCGCTTGCATTGCTTCCAGCGGAACATATCATTGATGGCTTCAGGTGGTTGGTAACTAATACCGCACCCGATATTCGTGCATTTTTCGCCTTTCTTATTGAATACTATGAGGAATGGTGGATAAGACAGGTTACACCTGCTAAATTCTCTGTGTACCGTCAGAAATATCGTACCAATAATAATGTGGAGGCCTATCACAGGTGTTTAGAGAGACGTATCAAGAGTCATCCTGGCATCTGGAAATTCACGGGTACGGTTCAATTGTCTCAAAAATAATAAAAAATGTCGAATCCTTAAGTGCATATGAAATATATCATTGTTTCTATATCCCGATAGCTTGGCGCAGTGGGTCATTTCGTTGCCTCACATGCGAAAGGTTAAAAGTTAAAAACTCCACCGGGTAGAATGGTGCGATTCAAGTATTTAAAGTCTTGACCATCGCATCATCGCAGCATACTCTAACTGGGTGGAAACAATTCAAAATAACGATTAAAAAATAGTATATTTCGTAACAAGTGCGGAAAAGTGATTTTTGGCGTGTGGGAGGTTTATAGGACGAGCCGAAGGCGAGTGGTATAATAGCACAAGCCAAAAATCAATTTCTGCACGAGTTGCGAACAATATTTTTCTTCACAATGTGCGGGAAAGGCACTTTTTAGGCACGTGAAGCGAAGCGGAGCGTGCCTGAAAAGTTACTTTTCGGCACATCGTGATGAAAAAATTGTTTGTTGAGCGAATTAATTGATCCCATTATATGCATTTTAGCTGAGTTGAGGGACATTCAGATGAATAGTATGCGCGAAGTTAATTCCTTGAATATGGGAATTCCAGTAAGACGTACAATTGAACAATCACGTACCAGGCATGAGACGTTACTGAATTATGTATGGGATTTATATGATGGAAATTCGCTTGATATTCCAAGATTTCTCTCTTGCGCTAGCCATTTGTCATCTTCTTTCAATAATGATTTCCTTATAATAACTCGGGAGGAAGTTGAATACTTCACCACAGCTCCAATCCACGACAGAGGTTGGTGTACCCACTGAAAATTCAATATTTCTTCACATATTCATAATCATAATTCAGTATTGATGGTTTCAGACGTTGCTCCACCAAATCATGGAATTGAACATGTTGCAATTGAAGGCCACGCTGACGGACCATTCCCTATAGTTAGGGGAGAGCCCCCAGAGCAAGCAATCGAGATCCTGATTTGTGAGTCCTGCACGACATTACCATTTCGAATCAGTAGCCAATCGGGTTGAGTCGATTCTGTTTGTTGCCCGATTTTCAGTGAATGCCTCAGAATCTAAGAGAGGTAGCAATATTTGCGTTAAAATTTTTTTTATACAAAATTAAAAGCTATCAAAAGGGTTGCGACGAAAATGTTGTTATTTCCCTCAGATTGGAAGTCATTCTTCGGAAACCATGCATGGAGCTAAGTTAACGTTACCCGGTTTATCGCTTAGTTACTGAAATGATTCCAGCGACTTTT